TTGTGGAGGAGCAATTGAATGTAAATGCAGCACCACATCCTCATCCATAAAAATGTAATAATGGTATTTTGGAGATCTCGTTATGGCAGCAAAATACAGAACATTTCGTCCCGTTCCCCATCCAGTATTGGGATAGAACAGATAAGTGATGTGAGGCGACTTTTGCACTTGACATTTGGTACGAAAGCTTAGCACTATGACATCACAGTTACATGTCTCGGGGTCGCCGATCTCGGAAGAAGAGGCAAAGTTTGAGGGAAGGCATTGCTCTGTTTGAGTGAGATAAACGAAAGGCTTTGGCGATGAATTATTTGTGGGTTTTTCCGTGGCTGTAGCTTGAGTTAGAACAACCTTTCGAGAGACGATCTCATCTGCGATAAACAAAATGTTGAAGTTTATTTTGAAGTGCTCGAAATCAATTCTGACCTAACCAGAGTTATTTAATTCAATACTAGAGAGGGAAATTGATTCTGTGTAGAACTTTGCAAATGGTTAATTATTACGCTTTTTACGTTGTCGTAGTGATTGGGGATCTCTCCAGTGAAATAACTTCAAGAGTGATTACATTGCTTGGAAAAGAAGAAACAAGTAAAAAAAAGAAAAAAAACAAAGAAAAGAACCAATTTCAAGAAGCATGAAATAAGACCAGTTACGATGAGCGAAGTTTTAGAGATGAATTTTTTCCCTTGGCAGCACTTTCGAGCTTGTTTATCTCGCTTCTTCCTACAACAAGGAAACAAACAGCACCGATGGAATCAAGCTATTCGAGGTTGGAACATGCTGATAGACAATTTGTTAGATATTTTAGTTTTCTGAGACCAAAGTCGATGACAGCTATCCAGATATCCAGTTTTATGCTAAAGGTTCCAAGCCAAATCGACAAGATAAAACAAATTTCAAAGGTGGCTTCATAATTTGTGCAAGGTCCAACCTTTAAACTAAGTGCGTTAAAAATACTGAAACAGTTCGTTGGTTTAGAATCAATTAACATTGAGGTCAGAACTCAAAAGGACTCATAGGCTGAGATCTATTTTGGGTTCGTCCTTACAGACCGTCCAAAATGGCTAAAGAAATCTGGTCATCCGAACGGGAACAACCAATTGAATTGATCAGCAGGCTTTCGGACGATTACACACTAATTGAAGACGTGAATTGTAACATTCTCGAACCCGACAAGGAGCGGCAAAGTTGGGGAGACATCTGCTAAACCTATGCGACGATTACAATATAAAAAGGCTCGTAAGTACGCCAACTAGAGCTACGGCAAATAGCGACACTCTAATTGACGTAATTATGACATCCAAAATAATTAAATTCTTGAACGCAGGTATTCTCAACCCAGATATAATGACAAGGGCCTTTTCTAAACGCTAAGAAAAGGGAATCCTAAATATTCAGAAGATCCAATTCTCAACACAAACAAACAGAGGAAGACAATGTCAGCTTCCTTACTTGATGTAACACCAATAGAGCCTTCTATCACCTGCACACTCTTAGGTGTTCACATAGGTGGTTAACTGAACATGAGCTGGAAACATTTGGTATTCAATTTCATCTTTGTTGTCATGCATATGTTGGAGACTCATACCGCTAGTTGCGCTTTAATTTGCTTATGCTGTTGAATTGGTTATGCTACTCAAACTGAAAGGGGGCACTGACCCTTCGAGAACGCCGCTAGAGATCAACAAAGTAAACCAGTAAGGGTAATGTGGGTAGTGACTAGCTCGAAACTGACAGAGCGCTAGAGCGATCTAAAACCCGATACACCGGAACAGCCAAGACTAACTGATCAGGGGCTTGTTCTCTACGGTAATTACCCATCGTCGCCCAGGGTGATCATTGTACGCTAGTTAATTTTGAAAACCAATTTAAAACGATCTTCAGTTTGTTATTTTGAATCGGTGATCGCATTACATCGCGAAGGGCTTATTTCTGGTGAACTGTGAACGGGACAACACGACGTAAGTAGGCCTGTTAAACTTTCGGAAGCGTTGTTATTTCTCCTTGTTCGAACTAAGTTATGTTACTTTTAATTTCCTTAATATTTGCCTGCGTCTCATCGGATGAGCATCTAATGCTGTAAATCATTTCCAAATCCTTGACTTACCTATTGTGCTGTTGCTGTGAGTGGGTTGGCTAATATCTTGTCCGAACTTCACTTGGTATGAGGCGTACATGAGAAAGGTGGTCAAACCAAGGATAAAAATCGAAAAAATGCTAACTTTACCTCTCGTTATGAAGATCATTTTGGTTCTGTTTAGAGTCACTCCGTCATAAACGTTTAAACCTACGGATAATAAAAATATTTATTCGTATGGTAGAGAAGGATGCAATCGAATAAAAATCGCGATTTTGAGACGCCATTATTGAATTGTATTGGTGGCTAATCGAGGGGAAATATATTGTAGTATTGGGAAGAGTCGCATGGCGACGAAGCTCAATGACAATAACAATATATTTTCTCCCAACCAGCTAGCCGCCAATGTAATGTGGTATTGGCGTCTTAAAATTCCGACTGGTTTTAAATCGCGATCCACCCATTACAAACGTTATACTACTGAGAAATTTCTGAAAAGTAACTGTCTTAGATCACAAAGTATTTTTAACCAAATTTGAAAAACCGTCGAATCTGTATTAAACGACACCGTATTAAGTGGTAACCCCGTATTCAGCGGTCGGTCAGCAAAGTCTCAAAAAATTTCCCCTTTATCATTGCAATTCTTACCCCTATTAAGCGGTCATCTCAATAAGGGATCGTAGGGCTTGTTTGTGTTGAACGGTCACTGAAAACCGAACCTCCAAAATAAAACTAAGAATAATCTTTCAAGTAATTTTTAATTCATATTTCTCCTCCAAAAACAAAGTAGCATTTTTGAGCGAGATTCTGTAAAGTAAGTAGTCACTTAAAGCATAAAGTGGCGTTTTGTACCTTTTTCTATAATACCGTTAATAAGTGGAACCTGTATTTAGCGGTTAACCGGTATCGTATTTTTTTACGAGTTGTTACGGCTTTTCTCCGGACTGAAAATCCTTGTTTAACACCGTAGTTTACATGATAAAATCGTTTCTCTGACGATGTGGTCACTTCGGATGTGTATCGCGACATTTCGACTGCACATATACTGCCAGTCTTCCTCGGCTGGTGAAGCTGGCAGTATGCAGTCCAATCATCGCAATCCACATCCGAAGTGACCACATCGGGAGACAAACGATTATATTTCTCTTTTGAATTGATTGCATAGTTTCATTTAGTCGCAAGGACCTGTCCCACGAACAGTTCCCACGCAGGGACCTGGATAATTTGGGTAGACAAGTTCTTTCGACTTCTCTCACGAATTCAAACCATTTCGAATTCGCGGGACAAGTCGCAAGGATTACATTCTGGACCCTACGATCAGACCATCTGATGGAAACTTTAGATGGTAGTTCATTTGAAGGGACCTTGTTCTCGCTTCGAGTCGCGGGTACTAGTCCTTTCACTTGGTGCCGATCTTAATGTAACCGTTCTACCTCTACAAAATAACATCAGAGCAAACATCCGGTTGTTAAAAGGATGGATAAATTTATCCACTGGATAAGCTCATCCGGTGTATAAGATGGCTATCCAGCGGTTAAAAAGCTGTTGCAAAAGGCACAGATAGCGAGGCGTATAGTTATCCGACGGCTAACTCGCCGCACAGGCAGTTGCCATGGTGATAACCCTTGTGGCGAGAAAACACGTCAGAGAATGTTGCTTCTTCCCCGGCAAAGCGCACTAAAAAACGAAAGTTTACACTTGCCGAATGGACAGTTATTTTCGAAGAAGTGGGAAAAAAAATCAAAATAATTAAGTGTAAAATTTCCGCGACGTTTTCTAAAAAACACAAGAGTCGAGTATGGGAGGTAATAACTGACAATGTCAATGCGCTCGGAGTTTCCAAAAGATCTGTCATAGAAGTGAAAGAAAAGTGGAGAGGAATGGTGAGTGGAGAGGAATGGTGAGTGGAGCAAAGAAAGAACACATGAGCAAATGTACCACTACAAGAAAGAAGACCAGATTCCCAAAGGAATCAAAATTAAAAATTAAAATTAAAAATTAAACATTTCAGAAAATGGAAAAATGGTTTCGCTTCGTCGTACTTTTACATCAGGAACATAACGACGAGAACTTGAACGTCACCGACCGGAAGTTGGGAAAACGAACTTCGATGCTGCCACGCATGCTCAATCGAGCACTACTCGTCCTCGTCGTCCACATCTCCTTCAGGACCCCATTTGCCGCCAACTGCCGTCTTGTCGTGAACGTGAGTATGTCACTCTTAAGATTCAGGTAAATTGAAGGCATAAAATCGTTCGAACCGTAACGATCTTATCTACTACATGCTCTCTGCTATCTACAGTAGCGGCGATCTTATCTACCTGTAAATAATAATGCAAGCTTACTGTTAAGGGGACTTAGCGCGAACCGCAAACGACTAAACGAAATCTGATTTTCTTTTTCTGAACCTAAAATAAACTTTGAAAAGCATTTGGAAAATGTTTCTTGTTCCAGGAAACTGCAAATAATTTCACATAATTTAGTAAGTTTTCAAGTTTTGTTGCTAGTAAACTTTTACGACAACGACTTAATTGAACTTGATCTTTCCTGATCTTGATCGCTTTCTAAAGAGGTACTCGGCGGGTCAAAAACTTTTTCCTTTTTCTTGGCAATGCCCTAAAGCCATTTCATGAATGAACTAACGCCAAACGCTTCGGGATGAAACCACGTAATGTCACCAACATCGAAATCCCTCATTTGGTATGAATCTAATACACCATTCAAAGTTAAAGGGTAAAAAAAAAAAAGACTGTCACATACATACATACTAATGAGCTTCTTTTGCGCACGTATTTTGAGTGCGTTTTCGAAAATTGCATGTGTGTACGCGCTTTTTTAACACGCTTTTTGCGTCCATTTTGGGTCAAGTACCTCTGAGCTGTACTGTATACATCTATATTCGTCTAGCGGATTATTCAACATCATTCACTTCACCATCAGCAAATAATTGTTCAAGTATCATCGCTCAGATGCTTGCGAATTATATAGGAAAATTAATTACCTGACAAGGGAATTCCGCGTTAAATTACACGCAAAAACCGATATTGCACGAATCGTGAAGCGAAGAACAGTAAAAATATTACAGGATAAAAACAAACATTTGTTTTTATCCTGAGCGCGCGCCCCAGAAAGCCATTTCAAAGTCAACTGTCAGAACTGTCGTTGCATTAGCGAATAGGAAGCCAGGTCATACACCTTATGCTTGTTTTTACATTTGTTTACAAACTTTTTAAACAAGCTTCACACTATTTAATGGATAATAGTGCTATTGCACTGAATTGACAAGCCGTTTATCTTTAACATCTTTAATTTCCAAATAATTTGCTCAAGAACGAAAATAATATATATCTTTTACCTCTTTGGTGGCAAACTGAGAGAAATGAAGTGTCCAAGCAAAAGCACTGAAAGTTTAACATTGCAATTAAAGGTATTTATTTCTTCCTCTACATATATGATAATCGACCCTTGCACTTCTTCTGTTGTCGCTTTTTCGTCTTTTTCAGTTGAGTTTTTGCTTGCCATTTTCTGGAGCCGGGTTCACAGGATTTTCTTGCTTTCTCGTTGTCACGAGCACGAGCAAAAGAGGTATTTTATGTGTCTCCAAGAATTTGTAATTCATTTCAAAACAGGGAAGAACCTCTAACTCACTTTGAAAAACGCTTTTGTTCAAAAGGTGACAATGGTTTTGAAAACACTTTACGATGACATTGTAGAAAACTGTTACAATTTGACGATAATTGTTATGTTTATTTAGATGTGAAGCAATATCACTTAACTTCGTTTTCAACTCTCAATTTCATGCTAAATACTTCACTTTGTTGACCAATCAGAATGCGAGATTTTATTCAATTATGCAATTCTGTTGTAAATTGGTTTTGTTATTGACAACATTCTGTTACAATTATTTTGTCCATTGGTTTGGAGATAATCAGCCAATCTTACTTCATTCAATCAGCGTTTTCCATTTTGTGCCTTCGAAATTTAATTTCCTTCTGTAGTGTTTATAACTTTATCAGCAACATTGAAAGAATGCAAGGCAGCCATTTTGAAATTTAGCATCCCTGCAATAATCACCTTCTGCGAGATGATTATAAGGGGAAACCATGCAATCCTTATCACCAGAAGAATTATACTAAATAAGTTTATTGAAAACTCACCACATTTTGGAGAAAACTCTGGTATCCTTTGGATCCTCAATCTGGGAGCTACTCATTAGGTGACCATCTCACTCCTTCTAGATCACTATGTATTTTAGTGCAGCTTGTTATTTATTCATATATTTGGTTATTAAACCATTTTAATCAAATCTTTAGTTGTTTGTAACTTTCATACACTGGGCTTCTTTTTAAACTGCAAAGTTATGATCTGGGACAGCATCTGCTGTAAACATTGCCATAAGTTATTGGACATTTTTCACCCAAAAGTTGTGTTATTCATCTTTGGTAATGTTAACAACAACTATTCACCTCTGAAGTGAGGCAGAAGACAGTTTATGAATAAATCTTAATCAAATTGCAATGGTTTTGATTATGTCTTGTGAAACTGTTAATATTTGGATTGTTGCGGTCAGCCGCCCCATATTTTCAAATCACTGATACACCATTTACCCATAAATGTACACAAGTTTAATCACATAATGGTTTTTATTTGGTTGCCTTTTATTACTAATACATCAATTAATTGGAATCTTCAACATCCCCCCCGCCCCTCATTTTTTTCCTGGCAGCTCCCTAGGTATTTGAGTTTTTAAAGATTGGTTTGTTGAAATTTCCACCCCCAGGAAAAAAATTGTGTTCAAATGCCCCACCAATTTCTGAAAAAGGCAAAATCAGCAAACATAACTTACTGCACATTGACAAAGCTTTAAAATGTAGACCTTCTATACCTTTTTTCTGAGCTATTTTTACTTGTGGAAGTGAACTTTTTACCTCAAACTATTCCACATTTAAATATATATTCATATTTAGAAAAACAGAGGGCATTATTATAAAACATTTTTACAATTATATGCAATTAAGTTGAAAGGTCATTGATCATTCCATGTAATATCCCAGTGCTAAATGCAGAAATCTTTACTTACAATGGCACTTTTGGTGTAGTCATTACAACTAAAAAAAATCTTCAGTTATGGGATGTGAATTGATGTTGAAACCAAACTTTAATTTGAAGTCATTTCCTCACTTTGTGTTCAACAAACTACGTACAGTGAA